ACAGCTAGTGAGTACCATGTGTCTGAGGCCAGATTTGAACTCGGTTCCTACTGATTTCCAGGACCAGTGCTCTATCCGTTGTGCCATCTCGCTGCCGGGCTCAGAATTTCTAACTCATTATTTCCCACCAAGTCTTCTGCTTAATTTTGACTTCATAAACAACATCATCTCCCCTCATCTTCCACCCCCTTTTAGCTTTCTTTTGTGTATTGTCTTTCCTATTAGATTGTAAGATCCTCTAGGGACTGTCGTTTTTTTTTTCTTATTTGTATCCTCAGTATTTAGCACAGCTGACATATATTAGGCACATAAATGTTTATTGAGTAACTGACTGTTGTAAGACATTTTGCTAGACATCAACAACATAAAAGTGGGACACAGTCTCTATATCAAAGATTGTATATGTAAAACTACACAAGGGATAATAAAACAACTGCTAAAAAGAAATTCAGGCAAAGTGCTAAAAGAAATAGCAGGATCACTTTCACCTGAGAGAAGAATGGGTCGGTCAGGAAAACTTCACATGGGACATGGCACGTGAGATCCTTTTTGAAAGAAGAGAGGGGCACCAACATGAGAGTTGTAAAGGAAGTCCACTTTAGGAATGGGAAAATCCATGAGCAAAGGCCTGGAGATAGAAGAGGCTGGATGAAGGGAAAAGGGAAGGGAAGGCAATAAACATTTCTTAGGAACTTACCAGGTAAAAGGCACTGTGCTAAGCATTTTACAAATATTATCTCATTTAATTCTCACAACAACCCTTCCAGGTAAGTGCTATTAATGTCCTTATTTTACAGGTGAGGTAACTGTAGCAGACAGAGGTTAAGTGACTTGCCCAGAGTCATACAGCTAAGAAAGTTTTTTAGCTTAACTGGAAAGCATGACTGTACAAATATGTGTATAATCAACTTAATTTAATCATTATTTATTGAGCACCCAACATTAGGCACTGGGGATAAAAAGGCAAAACCAAAATAGTTCTTACCATCAAAGATTAGATTCTACTGGGGGAAAATAACATGTATATAGATAAATATCTGTATCCACAAAGTATAAGGTGAAAAACACACAGTACTTACAATCTAATCACTAAAGATAGCTGTATTCACGTAAAGGAGTTTGGCCTGATCTTTTACACAAGAAAGACCAAATGGATGAAGAATGTCTACTGCCCAGATTATAGCATGCATTTGAATAGACAGCCTATAGAGCTTTTTCATCATTATGTATATCTAGGATAGCCAGTACTGATCAACAAGTTGGGCCCAGAGTTTAACAAGAGGAGGAGACTTTGCCTTCCAGAATTTGCAAAGTTCCTTTAATGAATCCAAGCTTCCCATGAAAACAAAGATCTATCTTTTTAATACCAACATTTTATCAATGTTGTGGAATGGCAGTGAAATGTGGAACATAACAGTCTCTAAAAAATGAAGAATGAATATTATTATATTCTCCCAGGGTAAAAGGAAGGTATATGGTGGGTGTGAGCAGGCTGCAATATCTATCCCATGAGGTACTTCAAAGAAGAACAGAAGCAAAAGAGGTCCACAAGGAATTGTATTAACAGAAGAGAAAGTGGGTTGATCATGTGGAGAGTATAAGGATGGATGGCCAAAATGTTTTACTAGTACTGTCATGAGAGCCGGAGAAAACAAGAAAGGTCCCCAGCACAGTGGGTGGCCCCCTATAGCACATTTATAGAAGGTTATGGATAATAGGCAAACAGAATGGTAGGCAGGGACTAGGTTACAATCTACACTGTTGGAGAGAACTTCCAAAGGGATGAGCTCATAGATCCATTTGAGTAAACACAAGGTAATTTGGGGGTAGAATGGGATAAGGAGAAGAAACGTCTCCTTTTGGAGGTGGTAGATGAGCTGTGCTTTGAAGGAAATGAAAGATTCTGCAAGGCAAAGTTGAGGAGGGAAAGCATTACAAGTAGGAGAGTTAACCTGTTCAAAGGCACAGGGGCAGAAAATAGAACATCCTGTATGGCCGGACCATAAAGTACATGGCTGGGAACGAATATGTGATCAGTCTGGAAAGAGATTAGAGCCAGACTATGAAGATGTCAGACAGAGGAGTTTGTATTTTATTTTAGGGAAAATCGGGAATCTCTATGGGTATCATATAGGGGAGTGACTTGGTCAGATCTGCACTTTCGGAATATTACTCTATACTGAAGATTTCTGTGCTAATTTTTTTTTTCAAATTTAGCCAAAGTAGATGGAGCTGAACTAGAGCAGTATAGATGACTATATTTCCTAATCAAAAATTGAGATATATGGTCTGACAAAGGATATTCCTTCTACAAAACCTTGTCAAAACTACACTTCCTATTCTTGAAGTCAGGACCACCCAAGAAAATTGGAGGTACAGCTAGATTCCAATTATTGCAAGCAATGAATCCCCTGATGTGGTTACATATATTTCAATTTATATTATTTGAAGTTATAATTATGCAAAATATGGTAATTGCTATCATCCCAAAGGAAATACCCAATGCAAATTCAAATGATGTGACCACTTGAAGGGAACTAATTATTTGCACTAATCAGTACCTAGTTGTATTGCCACTGTACCCATGGGGTGGGGGCTGAGGGAGGGCAAGTGGAGATCTATAGAGCAACTGGATTTTCTTCTTTCAAAAATTTACAAGTTACTGCAGAGAGGATGCTAAAGAGGTCTCCAGATAGCTAAAGATGCTAACGACGATGTCTCCAGATAGAGGAGACATTTTGAACCAAATAGACTTGGAAATGATTACATTCTTTGTAGAAGACAAGGGTGAAAAAGAAAGGAACTAAGTTGTTTCTTCACCAAAACCGGGAACTTAATGTTTAAAAAAAAAAGGAATCAAATGTTGTTTCTGTTTAAGCCATTCCCCGTATCTTAGCTCCCTCTGAAATCCTTTAAGAATGGTTTCTAACTTCAGATATCAAATCTTTGATCACCCAGATAGAAATATAGACTTAAAATCTATTATGTAGGTTGCCAAATCCTAACCTTTTCCTCCCAACCAGTCCCTTCACCAGTAAAAATCAATAAATAAATTTAAAATAATTAAAATATATACATAACTTTATTTCTACCTTTTGAAGTATAATTGAATAGAATTAAAAATATAATATCTGCAGAGACCTATATGTTTAGGATCTATGGACACTATGGACAGTGCCCCTCAGGTTCACTCAAGGACACACACACATCAGTCTGCTAATAGTTTGTTTCCTTATAAATTATCTTTTTCATTGGGTCCAAAAGCAAGCTGGTAGAATATTCTCCAAAATTATTTACATCACAAAATTTTTCTATCTGATCAGTTCCAGAGTAAACTCCAGAGAAAACCAGGGAAATGTCTCCTACCCAATAACAAACCATAGATGTTTAAGCTTAAACACATATTACTTTTAGTGGTCATGTAATTTATTAGCAGTATCAAGTAATAAATACATACAAATAAGCATTTGAACAAAGTATAGAGGCTGTGATAGGGCTCCAAGTCAGTCACCTCTGTGCTCCAGGAAAGCAGATGAAAGAAGAGCTACTAACTAGACTCAGCCTTCCACCTACTGTCACAACTACTAGTTCTCCCTGGTGTTGGCTCTAACATACTCCTCTGCCACAAATTCACCTTTTCTAGCTTATGCATGTATCTACTTGTGTCTCACTCTCACTTATCTGCTTTTTTTACCTAGTACCCCAAAACTTAGGAGATAGTCCCTCCCTGAAGGCCACTGGAACCCCCAAACAACCTGGGCTCTATAGCACAAGGATTCTCCATCCTTCTAGGAAGGTCCTCCAAAGTCTCTGTAATCCTGGGTCTCTGAAATCTGGGTATACATTCATACCTAGGTAGTACTTAAAGGTTTTCTATGCAACCTCTTTTATCAGGAGCCCAGCTTTATTGATTTAGAACTAGAAGGGACCTTAAAAATCATCTAGTCCAATCCCTTTATTTTATAGGGGGGTGAGACTTCAATCCAGTGAAGCCCAGTGATTGGCTCAAGGTCACATAGGTAGGTAGTGAGAGATGAGAGTTGAATCTGGCTCCCTTAATTTCAAATCTTGGGCCCTTTTCACTATCCCACAAGACTTCTTGACTTCAAGACAACCAGTCTTTCAAGGAAACTACATTCAGTGAAACCCTAACTCACTTGGAGGACAACTCCTCTTACTTTGAGGGATCTAGAGCTTGCCATCTTAAAAAAAAATCTCTTATTGGGTTTGAAAGTGAAAGTGGAAGTTAAAGCCCGTGGGCAAAGAAGGCAAATAGGGTGTGGTTGGTGCTGAAAGTGTGCGTTAGGCTACTCACAAGATTTATGTACTGAGGGTGGAGGCTCTTCAAATAAGTGAGTAACTTCAAGAGAACTATTAGAAAATAAGATTTTCCATATAAAGGGTTTATATCTCTAAGAAATATGGCATCACTCTATTAATTTTTAGAAGGGAGGAGAAAATACATCAAAATTTTGGAATTTTTTTTTAAAGAACTGTGATAGATTAGTCATTGTATTTATTTTTGTTTTTTTATTGCTTTTTCATATCACATTCACTCATATTCCTCTCTTCCTCCTCCTCCAACCAAAGCATCATCTTTTATAATAACAAATTTCTTAAAAAAAAAAAAAGGGGGGGGAGGCGTGGGGATCAGCAAAACTAACCAACAAAGCAATTGAGTCTGATATTCTAGGTAGTTTTTTCATTCATCATCAACCACCTCTTCAGCAGCAGCAGCAGCAGCAGCAACAACAACAACAACCAGGATTTATATTCTCATATCACTTTTTCCAAGCCAAGGCTGGTCATTAAGATTAGAGAGTGTTCAGTTTCATTTTGCTGTTGCTATTATTTACATTCATATTGTTTTAGACACTCTGTATATTTTTCTTGATTCTGCTTAATTCACTTGTCATCAATTCATTTAAGTCTTCCCATGCTTCCTTTTTTTCTTCATATTCATTGTTTCTTACAATGCAGTAAAATTCCATTGCATTTATATACCACAATTTGTTTAGTCATTCTTCATTCAATGGGCATTTATTTTGTTTCTAGTTCTTTGCCGCTACAAAGAGCGTTAACCAGAAATATTTTGCCATATATGGGACATTTCTTTTTGTCTTTGACGTCTTTAAGCCTAGAGGAGAGAGAGAGAGAGAGAGAGAGAGAGAGAGAGAGAGAGAGAGAGAGAATATTAAATGCTTGCTAAATACTAGGTATATAAATAAAAGTAAGCAAGGCAATCCCTACCCTCAAGGAACTTACATTCCAATGAAGGATAACTACACATTGAGAGGTGTTTGAAAATGGGGGTTAGACATGACTAATGTGGAAATATGTTTAATATGATTGTATATGCATAGCCTAAATCAGATTGCATGTTGTCTTGAGAATTGGGAAAGGGGAGGGGGGGAAATGTAGAACTCAAAATCTTATAAAACGGAATATTGAAAACTAAAAATAAAAAATAAATTTAATTTAAAAAAAAGAAAAGAAAATGGAGGTTAGCGAAAGGATGGATTGCACAGCCTGGTGAAAAGGCTAGAAAGTGCCAAGAATGCCTGGTACTTAGTACCTAGCACTTAGCAGTTATTGATAGCAATTATTTATATACCCAGTACTTAGTAACTAGCAGTTATTGATTCAACAAAGATTTTTTGAGCCTACTATATATGCTTAGCACCATCAATTGTTGGTAAGTTCCATGAGGGCAGGGACTGTCTTTTGCCTCTTTCTGTATCCCCAGAGCTTACATAGTGCCTGGCACGTAGTAGGCACTTAATAAATGTTTATTGTCTGGGTTATTGTAAGTAAAGGGTACTTTTGAAACAAAGTATTGTGAAACAAGGGGACTCAGACTTAAGGTTAATTTGTCATGTTTGGAGACAATGTATCCTAGCTGAAGGAAGACTAGAGCAAGAGTCAAAAGATTTGCTTTTAAGTCTCCCCTCAGCAGTCATTTTGTCCTGTGAACTTGGGCAAGTCACTTAACTTCTGTGGATCTCAGTTTCTTTCTCTGTGAAATAAAGGTTTTGGATGAGACGACCTCTAGCTTTGCTTCCAAATATATGATTGCAGTTTTTTGTTAGGATCCAACAACATACTGTATGAAAAAGCATTAAAAGAAAGTCAAAGTTTACTTCTTCTAGAGCCATCCTCTGCTGCCTCCGTGTGACACAGAATTGTTCATGAAGGCAATGTAATTCGAGTAAAAATTTTAGGAAGTCCTACTGAGCTGGAAAGTGTTTGAACATTGTATAGCGATGTCATCAAAGAATTAGCCTAGCTAAGGTCAGAGAGGCTTATCACCATGTAGGCCACTAGAAGGCTCAAAGACTGCTTCTTAGGTTGTAGAAGAGGGGGGATCTTCATTGGTGGAGTAAGTACCTACATTTTTAAATTCATGGATCCTTGAATCATTGAAGTAAGGTGTTATATATAAATGTAAGGCATTATTATTGAGTCAATTCATGACCTGGGATAGATTTTGTCTCAGGAAAATAACTTGTGGTTTTGCCACACACTGAAGAAGTATATAGCAAATATGCCCTGGCCTCTACATCCCCTCAGGACTCTGCAGATAATCTAAGAGGCCTGAGGTATTTCTCTTCTCTACTACCTTCGGCCTGAGCCCCTACTAGCCATATCTCCCTCACTATTAGCCACAAGTAATTAGCATACCAATTTCATTTAAACTTCTGATATTAATTAGCTTTTAGAAAGGGATATTTACTTTGAAGATATAGCAAGAGCAGAAGTGCAAACTCCACCACCACCACTACACCCTTGGTGGGCACACTGTCCCTTCTCTTACCTCAGTCTCTGGGGAGAATAGGTTCAAGCCTTGCTTAGTTCCTATATAACATTGATCCAACCAAATTCATGTCCAGATGCTGTATCCATGCCAGATGGGTACTTATCTAACTTGGGATAGATCCTGAAGGTCACTCCAAAAAGTCATTCTTTTTTCCATGTGGCATTGATGCAGAGCTGGCTGCATAACTGGGATACAAGAAAATATTTCACAGGCCACCTCTCAGTCTTTATGGGGAGGACCTTAAGCCTCTTCCCTTAAATCAGTGTCCTTCACCAGACATCATTAAGGATGGAGTCAAATCAAGAGAGAAAAACTGAACAGAATGAAAATGGTGGCTCACACTAAAGACTTTTGAAGACAGTCCCAGTTCTGGCTACACAGCCAATTGAAAAACCATTTTCTAATTAAGTGGTTAATAGGGCAGAACCAGTTACAGAATGCCTACACATGCTCATTGTTTCCCCAAGGCACCTCCATTACATGTTATCACAATACCCCCAGAAGCAGGCTCCTAGTCTCTTCCATGTAGAGAGACACCATCAGTGGCTCTCTGTGCATGTGCTGGGCCCCCATTACAGCTGTGTATTCAGTTTGTGAGTAGAAAGGTTAACTAGTAGTTGATGAGCACCAGCTGTGTGCAGAATATTATTCTGGGTTTGCAGGGGAAATATATGCATACATAAAATTCAGGTCCCTCTCCTATCCTCAAAAACTTTCCAATTCAATTGGTAAGATAGAGCACTTCCGAAATTAATTTTAAAAACTCTTTAAGAGAGTAGCACTAAACAAGTAAAAATTAATAAAGCATAAGTATTGAGTGAACCCTGAGAATCACCCAACTATAGAATCAAAGATTTGAAAGAGACTCTAAGGGCCACACGTCCAGCCTACAACTAACCAAAAACCTTTATTGCGTCCCATACAAATGAACATCCAGACCTGACTTGAAGACATCACCTCCTTTTCCCCCAGTGAATAACAATCTGCCACATACAGCACATTTCATCTTGAAAATAGCTTTAATCATTATGTAAGGGGAAGCTAGGTGGCCCAGTGGATAGAACGTAGACTCTAGAGTCAGGAGGACCTGAGTTCAAATCCAGCCTCAGACACTTGACACTGACTAGTTATGTGACTCTGAACAAGTCACTTAACCCCAATTGCTTTGCAAAAAAAAAAAATTATTAAGGAGTAGGAGAGAGAAGAAAGAATCATTACAAATATGAGAACGCTGTCCTTACAACACTACATGTGTGACATCCTCTCAATGCCACATGTGTTCTACTGTTGTTCTAATGTGGCCCATTCTTCCAGCAATGGTAGATTTCTAACACCACCATGGATAGCATGCTTGTGTTCTCTAAGCTCATCCTTTTTTTTTTTTTTTGCTTTTTGATGAGGCAATCGGGGTTAAGTGACTTGCCCAGGATCACACAGCTGGTAAGTGTCATGTGTCCCAGGCTGAATTTGAACTCAGGTCCTCCTGACTCCAGGGCCAGTGCTCTATCTACTGCACCACCTAGCTGCCCCTAAGCCCATCCTCTTAATGCTGGTTACTATCCAACAACATGTGAAATGTGAACAAACTCTATACACACATTTAGGACATCTCTGATGAAAATATGAGAAAGGAACAGGAAGTTTTTTGCAAACAATATTCTACTACAGACCATATCTTTAGTCATACAATTGGTGCTTAGAATACAGACCTGCACTGCATTTTTTTTAACTATAAAAAAGGATTTGAATTGTTAAAGTGATATGTATCCTTAAAGTGTTTCCTCCAACAAGGCGACCCCATGTGTAACAAGCATAACCAGGGTTTGGAACATACCTATAGGATGTGCTCCTGAGAGTAGCACGAGGTCTTCTTTCAAAGGTGAATGAGGGGAGAGGAAATAGCTCCTTTTTAGGAGAGCCTGTCATCAACCTCTCTGGTTGCCTGAACAGGATTGTAAGACTTTGGCAATTTATACCTTGTAGAGGAAAATATTCCCTTATTCACACATATTATAAGCTCATACAAGGTTCTCGGAGAGATTCAATAACAGAGATAACTATTTGCCAATACTCTGATTATTAATTCAAGCAAAGTATAAAACAGGAAGACAAGTTTGCCAAAGGTGTCTGCTATTGTCATGGAGCATGAAAAGTCCAAAAGGAAAAAGAATTACCTATAGATGGTGAGGTTCCTTAAGTGGTCCTGCTTGTGAATGTCATTGTACTAACAGAACCAAGCTCTGGAACACTGCAGAACCTTCTTCTACAAGAGATCCATCACCACTCAAAATTGTTCAGCTTAGCTATCCACACAGGAACAATCATGTGGATAAAGAGTGCTTGTATCTAGGCTCTGATATGCAATTACATAACTTCTAGAGCTGGACCCAGAATTGATTAGAAGCAAAAGACTAGGCTGGATTGCTTTTGGGAAATCATGCAATGCTTTGAATGATGCCAAGTTTCTCTCTGGAACAAGAAAAAAATATGTGAGGATTTTTTGAAAAAATAGCAATAGCCTTCTAGTGATGCTATATGGTTTAGAATCATGGAAAACACATTCTCTGAAGAATCAAAACTGTGGGTCAATCTAAGCACAATTAAAAACAATATGGTGAGCTAAATAGACATATTACCAAGGAAGAATTACATACAAGAAGTGGTATAAAAGGTATTATCAAAAATATAAGGAAGTAGTGTGGACCTGCAGAAAGTAAGGAAATGAGTGCTTATTTTTTGCCTTAGTGCCTAAGCAATTTCAAGAGATCTAGAATCTAGGTAAAGGCCTTCCAAAATGTTGGACGGAATTCCTGTGGAGGGCTTTTGTGAAAATGGCACAGGATGAGAGGGCATTGATGAGTTTCCATTTGTACTACTGGAAAAAGATTCTGTATCAAAGAGATGATTCATCTAGTCAAACACTGAAGTACTACTAGTATTTTTTAAAGTGTTCGTGTCTCTCCAAGTTCATTTACCTCTCCCAGCCCAGGGAAGGACCTTGGATTTGCCTTTTTGTTTCCTCTGTTTCAGTGCCTAGTGGTTGCTCAATGAATATTTATTGAGTCACTGACCAGGCGATTATGGTACAACTGTAATCAATATGGAATTGATTCTAGTTTATAGAATCATAGGAGTTGGGACTAAAAGATCATGTATAAAATATATTTTTACATTATATATATTAGAGATCATGTATAAAAGAGATGAGAGGGAGTAGTGGCCAACGTGCCGAATTTATAGCCAGAAAGACCTGCATTCAAATACTGCTCCTGACATTTACTATTTATGTGACCATGAGGAGAGAAGAAGAAGCATTTACATGGCACCTACTACATGCCAGACACTGTGCTAAGAGCTTCTGCAAAGGCTTGGGCAAGTAACAACCTCTGTTAGCCTCAATTTCCTCATCTGTAAAAGGGGGATAATAATACCTGCTGTGAGGTTGAAATGAGGTAATGCCCATAAAGTTCATGATAACCTTAAAGTTCTAGATAGATGTTAGTTATTATTATAAGCAATAGATGGGTTGAAGGGAGTTCCCACACCAAGAAATAAGACTAACTGGGAATGATGGCTATCTTCAAGTGTTTGAAGCATTGGCATTCGAAGGGATTAGACTTGTTCTGTTTGTCCTGAGGGTAGAACCGGGAGCAAAAGGTAAAAGTCGCAAAAAGGTTGATTTAGGTTCCATGGCAGGGGAAATTTCCAGAGAAGCTTAAATATGGAATGGGTGGCCCGAAGTGGACTCCTCTTCCTTGGAAGTCTTGAAGCAGAGGCTATTTAACACTAGTGGGCTATGTTATAGGAGGGATTTCTTTCGTTGAACTTCTGAGGTCTTTTCGAACTCTCAAATTCTGATATGTATATGGAACAAAGTCAAGATACAGTTATTAAACTCCCTTCCAGCTTAGGGCCTGGTTAAATTATTTGCTCGTGGTTACACAGCTAGCATGTGTCACAGCAACACTTGAATCCAGGTCTTTCTGACTCTAGTCAGGTAACTAGCATTTATAAAATGTTTACCGCGTGCCAGGCACTGTGCTAAGCGCTCTGGAGATGTAAAGAAGGGCAAAAACAGCCCCCGTCTTCGTGGAGCTCACAGTCTAAAGGGGGAGATAACATTTAAACAGCTACGGACAAACATGATATAGACAGGCGAAAGGGGAGATAGTTTCAGACAGAAGCATTAGCCGCAAATTCCTGGAGATAGTTCACTGATGACGGGTTTAAGAGAGGGGTTAGGCGGGTTCGAGAGGAGCAACCTCCGACCAAAGGGGCGGTGCCCACCGCGCCTCTAGGAATTAGCTGACTAAGTCCCGCCCCTCAATCTTCGTATTGAGAGTCCAGCTAAGACATTTCCTCTTTTCCCGCCCCACAGCTCCCAGCTAGGCCACTCAGGGACGTTGCCCCGCCTCCGCCCCCTCCCATTGGCCCAGCCCAGGCCCCTGCACGGCCTTTCCATTTTCCCGCTTTATTCCATGCCCCCTTCTCCGCCCGGCCAACCCCTCAACGTCCACAACTCCCCGCCCCCAACAACCCACATCGCCCCCAGCTCTTTCAGTCCACAGTATTGTACGGAGCATAGTGCCCCGCCCTAGTTTTCCTCTCCCCTCCACCTACTTAGCGGCCTCGCCCTTTTGGGGAGGGCCAGCGGGGACTACGGGGTGAGTCCGCTCGGTAGGAAATGGGAGGAGCCCTGGAGGAAGGTGGGCGGAGCGCCTCTCCCTAGAGCCGAAGGGGCAGAGGGCGGGGCTAGGGACTTGGGCGCCTCGTTGCCATGGTAGCAGGGAGGGAGGGAAGAAGAGGAGGAAGAGGAGGGAGGGGGATGTGGCAACGCCGCCGCCGCCGCCGCCGCTGCCGCAGCAGCTGCTCGAGCGCCGCTGTCTCTTTCCCGGCGGCGGCTGAAGGGAGCAGCTGCGGGTCTCTGCCATATTGTGCGTCCCCCTCCCTCTTCCTCCTCCCTCCCTCCCCCAACATCCACCCACCCACCCTCCAGAGGCACACGCCTGACGGTGAGTCCGGTGCGCCGCCGCCGCCGTCGCGGCGCCCTCCCTCCTCTCCGTCTCCCCCTCCCGCGCGGCTGCTGCTCGCGCTAGCTCGTGGTTCGCGCCTTCTCTCCCCTGCCCCCTCCTCGCAAGTTCGGCCCGGGTCGGAGGGAGGGGGGCGGGCGGCTGCTGCCGCTGAGGAAGCGTGTGCCTACCCGGACTTGGCTCGGGACGGACGCGAGCGGGAATGGAGGTCTGTGTGAGGGTGGCGTCTGGGAGCGGAGCCTGTCCTGTCGGGGGGCGGTGGTGGATGCTTCTAGGGGGCTGGGGAAGGGTGGGGGGTGTCTTGTGTGGGAGAAGTTTTTTTGAGGAGAGGTTTGACCCCCGCGGCGGGTGAGGTGTCAGTGCAGGCGGGGAATCCCCGCCGGGTGCCCCCAGCTGTGAGGCGTGCTGTGCCGCCAGGGGCTGGGGAAAGGGGACGAGGCTAGCCGGGGCAGGAAGGAAGTAACCGCGTAGGACGATCGCTTAGTACTCGGGGCTAAAAATAATTGGAGAAGTGGGAAACTGCAGTTTGTGGGGGAGGGGGTGCCGAGGTGCCGGGTGCTGTTGGACGGCCCCCTACCCCCCACCTCCGGTGTCAGCAGCTGCCAGAGCGGTTAGTGGCACTGGCCTGGCTTGGTCGTGCAGAGTGGGTGTTTGTGTTGTGCAACACGGTCACTTTGGCCGCGCGCTTGTTTGCGTGTGCGTGTGCGGCGCCGTGGTTGCCTTTGCCCTTCAGACCCTTTTCCCTGGAAAATCGGGAGGCTTCTTGATGTGGGAGGAGGAGGAGGAGGAGGAGGAGGAGGAGGGAGGAAGGAAGGTTTCTCTTTATAGGGGTCATAAGGCACATGCTAAGCTCTTCCGCCTTACGCGTCCAGCCCTGCCCGGAGTAGGAGGAACAGGGCGGGGGGAGGGGGAGGAAGAAAGTGACCCGAGTGTCTCCTCCGGCCCTTCCCGTCCCCCCTGCTCTTCCCAACTTCTTCAAACTGCATGTGTCCACCGCAGCCCCTGGGATTTGGGGAAGGAGGAGGAGGAGGAGGAGGACCCCTTGGGCAGAGGAGCCTCAGCTCTGGCCCTTCCTGGTTGTAGCGGCAACCCCCCACGAGGAGGAGCGTATGCAGGCGAATGTCCCTCCTTCCTTGCCCTCTTTGCAAAAAGCAACTTTTTACTGTGCAAAAGGTGATTCAGCCTTTCTCTTTCCTCACCCCATATCTGTGAGCAAATGCCAGTTGGGAAGAGGTAAAGCAGACCCCCCCTCCCCCGCCTAATGAAGTGATAACTTTATCTTTAGGTTAGCTTTTTTGCTTTTTCCCCCATTGTAGTTCGGATTGTGAGAGACGTGTGGCCACCTCCGGCTTAAAGAGGGCGGGCAGCTTTTTGGGGTCAAAGGCTTTACTAGAGCTTGTGTCTTTATGGCAAAGGTGCAGCTACCTTCTGGCACTGAATTGTCAGAAATAAGATGTCATTGCAGCTTCTTTTTGCATGTAGTCCTCGGGTAACTTCTTGCCTTCTCAACCTTTTTGTTGACTCATCCTTAAGGTCTAGTGATGGCTACTTTAAGTAATTTAAAAAGGAGAGATCAAGTTGATAGAATTGTGGAGTTCCCCAGCTCAGGAAAATAACTCTAGATATATATCTGTATGTTATGTATAGATATATATAGATATAGATAGATATATATTGATTTCTTTCTTAATTGTGTAGATCAGTCATTAGATCTTGCTTTGATAAATTTTTTTAATTTGCTATTATTTTCTGTCAAAAGAGTTTTACTTTACCTCTCTAGTTTGGCTCTTCTATTTTTAAATAGAACCTGTTACCAGAAAGGATCTAGATAAGTTTTCTGCAGCTAGTAGAGTGCCTTAATATTGGAGTTCAGCAACTGTTTGTTGATTGAGTTTATGTTATAGAAATATTCTTTGATTTTAGAAGTGAGATGTTTAGTTCTTTTGAAGTACTGTGAAGATAAAATACATTTTCAGTGAATGGAATTTTAGGCTTGTATAGAATGCATGACAGCTGCAGCAATGTATGTGCAGATAAATTGAACATGTGAAAGCATAATCTAGATTTGATATTTGTGTGCTGAATTTCATAACTTTGTAGTGCATATACTAAAAATATTACTTGGAAAACAGACTACCTAACTACATAAAGTTTCATCCTATTAAATTTTTCTAAGTTATCTTTTGCTTTGTTTTTAGGTGATCTGGTTTTTACTTTAAAAAGTAACCTATGAAAAGCATTTAGATGGGTACAATGTCCAAATGGGAAACTTTGGTTTTCTATTATCTGTCATTGGAATAATGGCTAGGTAACAGTGGAATGCAATAATTGGATGAATGACAGTCAGTTGATTAAAAACATATGTAAGAGACTAATGGGGACGCTAAGTGGATAGAGCAAGAAGACTTAAGTTGTTCCAATGAGGCCTCAGACACTAGCTGTGTGAACCTGGGCAAGTCACTTAACCTTGTTTGCCTCAGTTTCCTCATCTGTAAAATGAGTATCTTTGCAAAGAAAACTCCAAAAGGGATCGGAAAGAGTCAAACACAACTGAAATTACTGAACAACGACAGGAGGCTAACACCAAGATACTATGCAGGAAAAGGAATGTGAAATAATTACTCTAGAACCTGATTGATCATCTTGTTATCTTCCCTCAATTAAATAAGTACTATACTGGCAATATAATGTGCCTCATAAATTATGATCAGAATATCATAGGGACATCAGTTAATAATATCCTCAATTAATTTGTCCAAAAAGGAAGAATTCAGCCACAGCAAAACTTGAGAAATATACCAAAAAGTACAGAAAGAGTCATGGAATGAAATAGAATTTTCTTGGTTAACATATATGTTTTAAAAACCAATTGTAAATAGTAGAATTTATGGTTTCATGTGCAGTCTTTAAAAAAACTTGTACTTTGGAATATTTTCTTTGGTTACTCAGTTTAGAGTTTTTAATGTCAAAAAAAACTAGAAATGTTTAGCTCAAAAAAGATTTAATTTTGGTTTGATGGATTGATTCATTCTACATTTAAGTACATTGATACAAAGGGAGACAAGTATAAGTAAAATCTACTCCCATCCCTCCCCCCACCTCCAGGTTATAATCTGGTTGCTCTGTTACTTATGTTTCTTATCTGTTACTTTGTCATCTTTATTTCTGTCTAGCTCTTAATAAATTAAATATCTGCTTTCTTGTGGTCATATAAAAATTCATCAGCAAGTGATTAGGTACTAAAAGGAAAACAATAAATTTTAAAAGATGTTTTTTGCCCTCAAATTGGAGAGGCAAGACTAACATTTCTGACATATTAATAAGAGCTGTTAACTTAATATTCTTAAGAGAGGTTTCAAGCTTCTTATCCTAGCACTAAAAAAATATTTGGTGCTGACATATTTTGCTTTTTGTGTCTGGCGTTTCCCTGCCCAATGACTGGGAGGGATAAATAAGTAAATAAATGAACAAATGAATGAGTAAAAAGGAAAGAGGGAAAAAAGCAATTTAGCAAAACTAACCTATGTTAGCTTAGTTTGATGGTATATACAGAGTTCTATATCCACAGTTCTCCAAAGAAGGGAGATAATTTTCTTGTCTGGTCTCTGGGGCCAAGCTTGATTATTATAATCTTGCATTAGTCTGGCATTTAAGCCCTCCATACTATGGCTCCTTCCTACCTCTCCATCCGGACTAATTTTACATTACTCCCATTCATGTATTCTGTGTTGCAGCTGAATTAGCTTACTAGTGGTTCTCTGTATTCTATGTGTCATAATCTGTATTGCATCCTCCCCTCTTCCACTTTGAACCACTAGCTTCTTTACGGGCTCTGATGCCTTCCCTCATTTCCTGAGTTCATGGGATCATAGATCTAGACCTGAAAGAATCTTAAGAACCATCTATTCTTACTTTACAGATGAGAAGTTAAGTGACCTGCTTAAGGGCACACAGGTAATAAATTTCATAAGAGATTTTAATCAAAATCCTCTGGCCTTAGAGCCAGGGTTCTTTTCAAGTTAGTCAGTGAGCTGATAATGGCTTTATCCCTCCTGCAATTACTTAGTATTTATCTGTGGATGTTTTGTATCCCTCTAGTAGGATAGAAGCTTCTTGAAGGTAAGGAATATTTTGTTTTTGTAATTTCAGTGATCTACCACAGTGCCTTGAACATCGTAGTTGTTTAATAAATGTTTATTTGTTAAATCTGTTGAAAGTGAGTGAAAGAACAGTAACCAATACAAGGCAATATGTGATCCTATAATTTAAATTTTAAACTGTGTGTTGCAAATTAGGTATTGTAGGTAACCTTTGAGGACTTGAGTAGTGAGGGTAAAGCTTCATGGAGAAAATAGGACTTGAGCCTAGCAATTGCTCAGTCTCCTGAACTTTTTCCTTTTCTGGTTCATCCTTTATACCACCACCATGAGATTCATCTTCTTAAATAAAGCATTGTTTCCTCTCTGCTCAAAAATGTTGGTATCTTTCCATTACCTATAGAATAAAGTTCAAACTACTCTGACTAATGTTTAAGGCTTTTCAACAGTGTTCATTTTTAGCCTTATTCTTCCCTATTCTCCTACATGAAACTTTCAAGCCTATTCTTTCTCACTATTTTCTGCACGAGAGACCGAATTGGGATTCTCACCTTTCCTAAAATATAACTTGTAAACCACCTGGAAAGCAGAAAGTACATCAGTTCTGCCTAATTGTAATACTCTCCCATTTCTTCATCTATGAAAATCCTAAGGCCCAGCTCATCTGTTTCAAGGTCCAAGTTTTCCTTGATTACACAAACTGAAATTTTGTGTACCACTGATTTAGCACTTAACTGATAATTTACATTCCCATTTAAATCTATTCTCATCCTGGGAGGCAGCTGGTTTCATAGAGCATTGGACCAGGAGTTGTCCTAGTTTCATTATGTATTATTTGTGTTATTTTGGGCAAATCATTTGAACTCTAAGCCTCAGTTTCCTCTTCTGTAAAATAGATAATTTTACTACTCACCTCATATGATAGTTAGGAAAGTGCTTTGTAAGACAGACTGCTCTATTTAACTGATCTAATAACCCCCGAATATCAATAGTGATGCACCCATTTTTACTATTTCCCATTTTTCTACAAAAATGGGGGGAAGATTGGTTTATTTCATTGTGACTCTTCACCATACTGATTAGCCATTTGGCTAGTAGTAGTCCTTAAAAATCTACTATCCATGTTGATGTATACACTTGTTCAGAACAAGTAATATGAAGATATAAATGTTATCTTTTACAGTATGTCTACCCAATGAAATTGTAAGCTTCCTGGTCTTGTACTTTCTGTTTCCCAGAGGTATACAAAAGGCCTTCCATAAATAATTTTTTGGTTGAAAGATTTGTAATGACAGAGTGTAAGAGAGCACTGAATTTGGAATCAGAAGCTTTGGGTTCTAATCTTAGCCCTTTGTCATTTACTAAGCCATGTAACCGTGGGCAAAGGACTGAACTGTTTTGAGCTTCAGTTTTCTCATCTGTGAAATGTGGGATAATAATTAGACTGCTCACTTCATGGAGTTGTTTGTGAAGATTAAATGACATAACAAGTTGCTCTTTAAAGTGAAGGTATTATATAAATAAGAACAGTTCCTTGTTCCAGATGAGGCTAATGAGCAAGTGTGGAGGGAGCAGAAGAAGCCTTGTAGGTTGTAGTGGATGATAAGACTGGATACAATAGGGTTCAGATTTTAGAGTGCCTTGAAAACCTGGCAGAGTTTAGATTTGAATCTATAGAAAACAGCCATTTGAAGGTTTTTAAACTAGAGTGACATGGTGAAAACAGTTTTTAAGAAAGATTAGTTGGGCAGCAGAATGTAGGTCTTAGAAGTGTGCAGGGCAGCCAGCTTATAGTGAGAATGGAGAGAATAAAAAATTTAAGTTGGAAGGAATCACACAAATTGTCTAATCTAACCCATACCAGAACAATAATTCTCCCTTTACAAATAACATTGCCAACGAGTGGTCATACAGCTTCTGCTTGAAGAACTCTGTGAAAGGCAGCCATTCCTTTCCCCAACAAGCCCTTTTTTTTTTTTTGGCTACGCTGTGGGGTTAAGTGACTTGCCCAGGGTCACACAGCTAGTGAGTGTCAAGTGTCTTGAGGTTGGATCAGGTCCTCCTGACTCCAGGGCC